CATAGTTACATAGTTACATAGCTGAAAAGAGACTTGCGTCCATCAAGTTCAGCCTTCCTCACATATGTTTTTGCTGTTGATCCAATAGAAGGCAAAAAACCCAGTCTGAAGCGCTTAAAATTTTGCAACAAACTAGGAAACAATTCCTTCTTGACCCCAAAATAGCAATTAGATGTCTTCTTGGATCAAGCACCTCTTCAGGCAGAGAATTCCATATCCTTATTGCTCTTACTGTAAAAAACACCTTTTCTTTGCCTTAGATGAAATCTCCTTTCTTCCAGTCTAAATGCGTGACCTCGTGTCCTATATATAGCTCTGTTTATGAATAGATTTCCAGATTCGTGTTTATGAATTCCACCTTTGGCACAAAAAAAAAGAAAGGTGTATTATGGGGAAAAAAAGACGATTACTAGATAGGGGACAGTCACTATCTTTAATTGTATTCACAGTTTTAAGTGAGAAGTGAGCAACAGAGGAAATAAATATATATATATATATATAATTATTATTATTATTTCTTTTTTTTCTTTGCTGCTTTTCCTGTTTTTCCTCAACTGGTCACTTGATCTATGAACCAAATGGTGTGTAAATGCTTCTATCACTGTACTGCAAAATATGTATATAATTTAGATATTTGCAGCATACTGGCCAAATTTAGCAGCCTTCTTTATGCTTCTGATTCAGTGGGTCCATACGAATCTTCATAATATGCATGAGACTCCTGTTATCTTTCTTTACCTACCCAGCCCTCCCCCTATCCTTTGTTTATATGTCTTTCTGAGACAATGTAATCTCTCTCTTATGTCAAAAATGCAAGTGTAGGCTAGACAATTGGGTCAGAGCATCTCCAAAATGGCAATTAATGTCGGGTTTTCCTGTTATGCAGTGGTCAATACCTCCCAAAAGTGGTACAAGGAAGGACAACTGCTGAACTAGCTTAAGAGTCATGGGTGGCCAAGTCTCTTTGATGCACGTGTTGAGCTACTTTAGCTCAAATTGCTTATGCTGTTTATAGGGCTGTGTAGCCTCAGATCGGTCAGACTGTACCGCCAAAAGTGCCTTCAATGGGTTTGATTGTTGCAAACTCTATATACCCCTTCAAAGCAATGGTGTTCCCTGATGGCCTCTTTCGGCAGTATAACACATCCTAACACACTGCAAAAATTGTTCAGGAATGTTTTGAGGAACATGAGTTCAAAGAGTTCAAGGTGTTGCCTTGGTATCCAAAATCTCCAGATTGCAATCCAATTGAGCATTTGTGGGATGTGCTGTAACAACAAATCCGATCGGTGGAGGCCCCACCTCGCAACTGAGTCTTGATGCCATATACCACAGGGCACATTCAGAGGTCTTGCAGAGTCTGTGCCTCGAAGCATTAGGGCTGTTTCGGCAGTACGAGGGAAACCTACACGATATTAGGCAGTTGGTTTTAATGTTGTGACTGATCAGTGTAAGTGCTAAGTGAGATAAGGGAGAAGTGGAATTCAAATTCTGATTTGAGACAGTGAAGTTGTCTAAATAAACCCATATACCCTGGGGTATCAATAGTTTTCTACTTCATTTTTAACCAACCTTATTCTATGTAAAACGAATTATATCCCACTTGTGTTGTCATAACAAGCTACCTCTTATGACCCTTCCAAAAGACATTATTTTTAATTAATAAATCAAAAAGAATATTGGCTCATTCAGTCTTCTCATTCATAACAAATTCAGTTCCCACCCATTTCCCAGCTATCATTTACAATTAACATCTGACCCTGCTAATCATGATGTGACATAAATTCATAAATCCAGAGCCATTTAAAAAAACCTCAGCTAGAAAAGACAATAGTAATGTGTTTTAGCCATTATCTTCATTGTCTGTTAAGGTATCAACTAAATCATAAAAGCCAGATGTTTTCGCATATCTTTGTCAACTAGACGATGGACTGTCATTATCCAGTCCTTGGTATGGCTCTGAAGCCGTATTAGATTACCTTGGATGATAATTTCCAGTAGGATGAGTTTCTTGGCTGCCCTTGTTTATATGATGTATTGTCACACTGATTGTCTGATAAAGGTTAAGATAATTGACATTTAGAATATTAAAACAATACAAAATACAGAATACAAAAACAATGTATTTTCTGGATAGAAACTGACTCCAGTGTCGAGAAGTCAATGTAACATTCTATTTGTATTATTTACAGCGAAGCCCGGCAAAACAGGTATCTGTGAACTGCAACACTCTATGCTGACATAAAGTCTCCCTGAGCATCATGGGAAATGTAGAGCACAAACATCCGAGATGTCAAGATTAGCTATTCATGGTGTAAATCAAGCATTCTATTACCCTGTTAATATGATGAATAAGACTATCTTTGGTGACTGAGATTGAACAGTTAATGAAATTAGACAAAACATGAAATATGGCAATAGACAGACAACTGTTGATGAAGACACCATATCCATGTCAAATCTTCTAAAAACTTTAATTTATGATAAGTTATTAAATGGACAATGTAAGCACTGTAACTACTTCATCTCATCGAAGTGGTTATAGTATCTGGAGTTCCCTGGCACCTTCCTTCTATTCAGGTTAAATAATTTATAATGGTTTAATGCTAATGAGAGTCTCCAACAGCACCTCCCCTCTGTACTGCTTGAGCTAATGTGGAAGTACTAGCCTGTGCCGCAATGGGAGGCTGTGATTAGCTGAGAGTGTCTGTTGATCCCTTTCAGCCTATCACAGCGCCCATTACTGGTATGAATTGGTATGACTAGAAGTAAGTGTATAATCACTGGGGGCCGGCTTTGGGAAGCCCTACGGCAAGAAGGCCAACCAGCGAAGGCAGTGTTATGCTCTTGGCCTTGTTCTGCTGGGAAACCTTGAGTCCTGGCATGTATGTGGTTGTTTCTTTGATACGCACCTACCTTGAGATTGTTGCAGACCATATGCACTCCTTCATAACAATGGTATTCCTGTGTCAAATGGTTTAACACTGAATGCAGGGACAGTGACAGAGGACTCCAGACACTATAATCACTTCAATGGGATAAGATGTTCATACTGCCTAGAGATTTCCTTTAACCTTGTCTTCTACTACAATCACTAGATGATAAGATCTGCAGTTCCAGCTGTAGTAGGATGGGCTCTCACATGACCTCCAAGACTGTGGTGATATCAGCTCTGTTAGTGACTCTGTGGATGCCAAATCCTGCTCGTTAAACAAAATCTACTATTGCACACTACCAGTTTGTTAAGAGAATTCAGACGTTTTATAAGACACATAAGGTAATATACATGACATGGTTTGTGAGCATCGGAGGCCTCTCCAGGTATCTCAGTATCAGTGAGGAGTCGGGGGTAATGAGGTACCAATCTGCTTTGGCAGGATATGACTAGCACCAGCTGAAAGGTAATATAGAGTTTGTAGAACAAAGGCTGGACATCTTACTGATCATTCATTCTCTAAATCAGTGGTTCAGTGGGATTTAAAATTGGGTCCCATCCTGTTTCCATGGATGGTTACTACAGGCACATCATATTAACAGTCTCTGGGCAAATACCCAACATAAACTACATAAGGAATACAAGGCATCTATGTATACCTATAGTTTATAATTCAAAGGTACATTCCAAGCACAATAACCACTGCGGGGTGATGTAGGTGTTATGGTTAGTAACACCCTGACAATACCCCAATACAACTTACTTGCTGCTCCCTGCCTCCACTGCAGCCTCCATCGTTGTCTTACATTCTAAGAATATAATAATAATAATAATAATCAGGAGGAGGATTGAGAACCCTTTACCAAATTTAAATGAGACGGGAAATATGCACTTTAGATTGTAATCTGTCGCTAAAATCAATTTTAAACTAATAGGCATCTTTTAAACAATAATGTATTCACTGTTACCAATACAGAAAAAAAAGACCCAAAATTCAATGGAAAACCCTTTTTAACCTAATCCTCCAAAGCTATTTTTAAATGATTGATAATGACGCCAGTATTAAGCACTGGAATTGTTTTAATAAGATTATTTACATTGTCCCAGTATTGTTAAATGCAAGTTAGAGTTTTAATTGGAGCAAGAATACTCCAGTATTATATTAATGGAGTTTTTTCCTAAACATGATATATTACAAAATACTTGATTATATTTTATACGTCTTATCCAGCGGGTTTATAAAGCAGGACACGGTCTTTATTGCAGAATTTCCTCCTATAAAATGACTCTATAAAAGACTTGTTTTAAACAGATGGTTCACTCTGATTGAGGGTCTGATTCCTAATTCATCGAAATGTCAAACATTCGTAGTCAAAGTACTTTTTGTTGGGTTGACTAAGAGTGCATATATCCTGTTTTCCATTGAGAGTCCAGTCACTTCTAATGAAATGTGGTTCTCTATTATTACCATAAAAATGCTCAATAAAGAACATATATTTTTTGTGCAAAATGCAATTATGTCAAGTGTCAGATAGATAACATAGGAAATAATGCTGAACAGACACACTGAAAATAGGTTCCATATATTCGGCTCTCCCTTATAGAGCAGTTTACATTCATTTTCATCTCCAAGTCAAAAGTGTAGAATTTATATATTAAATAAGCCATATCGCTCGTGTCCTGGGATGGCCATCACAAGTCTTTGGGGATTCTAAACCATTCATTTTCTGGATTACACTCAAAATAACTTGTCACATTTATATTTTTGATGTTCTGTAATGTACTCATCGCAGTCAATAGCAACTAGACTTGTTCATTGAAGTTCAAACAAATTAAATTTTGCCAGAATTTTGGGTGATTGTCGTAAATTGCTAATTGTAAATTAAACAAGGAATGAGCAAGCCTTTTTGTTTGTATCTTGATTCAGAGATCTGTCTGTAGTGCAAAAAATAAAAGAGATGAATGGTAATAAAAAAAAAAAAAAGTGATTGTGCCACCATTTGGAACCAGGCAATGAGTTTTGCTATTTTTAATAACGTAAAGGGTGTCATAAATGTGATAAGAACCATTCGGCCCATCTAGTCTGCCCAATTTTCTAAATACTTTCATTAGTCCCTAGCCTTATCTTATAGTTAGGATAGCCTTATGCCTATCCCACGCATGCTTAAACTCCCTCACTGTGTTAACCTCTACCACTTCAGCTGGAAGGCTATTCCATGCAGCCACTACCCTCTCAGTAAAGTAATATTTCCTGATATTATTTTTAAACCTTTGCCCCTCTAATTTAAGACTATGTCCTCTTGATGTGGTAGTTTTTCGTCTTTAAAATATAGTCTCCTCCTTTACTGTGTTGATTCCCTTTATGTATTTAAATGTTTCTATTATATCCCTCCGTCTCGTCTTTCCTCCAAGCTATACATGTTAAGATCCTTTAACCTTTCCTGGTAAGTTTTATCCTGCAATCCATGAACCAGTTTAGTAGCCCTTCTCTGAACTCTTTCTAGAGAATCAAAATCCTTCTGAAGATACGGTCTCCAGTACTGCGTACAATACTCCAAGTGAGGTCTCACCAGTGTTCTGTACAATGGCATGAGCACTTCCCTCTTTCTATTGCTAATACCTCTCCCTATACAACCAAGCATTCTGCTAGCATTTCCTGCTGCTCTATTACATTATCTGCCTACCTTTAAGTCATCAGAAATAATCACCCCTAAAGCCCTTTCCTAGATGTTGAGGTTAGGACTCTATCAAATATTCTGTACTCTGCCCATTATCTTGCACTTATCCACATTAAATGTTATTTGCCACAATTCTGACCATTTTTCTAGTTTACCTAAATCATTTGTCATTTGGCTTATCCCTCCTGGAACATCAACCCTGTTACATATCTTAGTATCATCAGCAAAAAGACATACCTTACCATCAAGACCTTCTGCAATATCACTAATAAAATATTAAAGAGAATGGGTCCAAGTACAGATCCCTGAGGTACCCCACTGGTGACAAGTCCAAGCTTCGAATATATTCCATTAACTACAACCCTCTGTTGCCTGTCACTCAGCCACTGCCTTACCCATTCAACAATATTGGAATCCAAACTTAAAGATTGCAGTTTATTGATAAGCCTTCTATGTGCAACAGTGTCAAAAGCCTTACTGAAATCTAGGTAAGCAATGTCTACTGCACCACCCTGATCTATAATTTTAGTTACCCAATCAAAAAAATCAGTACATGATTGGTTTGTCGTCATGAACCAATCATATGTAACCATTTTTAAACTACTATTGCATATCATCGTTATGAATCTGGTAATGTAAATCACCATTTTGAATATGGTAACGTATATCACCATTTTTAATCTGGTAATGTATGCCACTATTTTGAAATAGGTAATTGTGTCAAAATTAATTTTTATACTTTTTATGCAAATCTGCTTGCTTTTTCCATTCCTCTATGCCCCCTCATTCCTACAGGTTTTTTAAAGTCGGGGAGATGGGGCTTGTTTGCCAGTTAGTTTGCACTGTTAGAGAAAGGTACCTGACCTGATACAGTCTGTTCTGTTTCAACATTTCACAGTAAATCTAATTGGCCAGGAATGTGGAGGAAGGAAATTAATACTGTCACACATAGACTTATCTAACTTAATCTGACTTTTCTAAATCCCTATCCCCATTAAAGGGACATTCCTGGCACCCATGGTGCAAGAGTCCACAAGATAAAGAATCAGGCAAAATATTATACAGATTTCTTTGCAGAATAGATGTATTGTTTTGTAAAAAAAAAAAACTGCTAAAAACCCAAACTGCTCTTTTCCCATTCACATGCCATCCACTTAATAGAAAGATAAGAATTATACAATCTTTCCAGGAACCCTTCTTTTGCAGAATCTAAATAAGTCCAAAAGTTGTTGGTGTTTTTTTTGTGGTAAAGTGTATAGCAGCATTCACACAGTGATCCCTTTATTTGTGCTACTGCTACTCGTTAATTGCTACATGGAGTCATTATGTGATTGATGCAAAATTTGCCTTAAAGGGACACAAAAGGCATCAGAACAACTTTAGCTTAATGAAACAGTTTTAGTGTATAAATCATGCCCCTGCAGTCTCACTGATCAATTCACTGTCATTTAGTAGTTAAAACATGTTTGTTTCTGTGTGTACAGGCTTTGCTGAGACTGACACATCTTGCACAAAAAAAAAAATATTTAATTTTCAATCAGATGTTAACTTGCTTTTTGAAGCTTTTTTTTAATCTTTCTGCTCTCTGAATGAACTTTAATCAAACACAGGAGGCTACTGCAGGGCATAGAAGGCTATTAACAGAGCAGAAGATAAGAAATTCTAAATTAAACAGACTGTGCAATAAAGGAAGTGTAGATGTTAGATGACTCTTCACAGGAAGTGTTTAGTCCCATGCAGGGAGGTGTGGCTAGGACTGAATAAAAATGTGATTTAATTCCTAAATGGCATTGAATTAAACTGCTTTAATTAAGTTAAAGTTGTTTTAGTGCCTATAGTGTCCCTTAATTATGGTTGTTGCACATACACTATGTGTTAAAATTCTTACTTTTCCACAGTAAGATACTTTAAAAAGTTCAACTCTTCCCTTGCAATCAATAAGGAAAGAAGTTTAGTTGAAATCTCTCAGTTGCTGCCTGGTCTCTACAGACATAGCTAATACAGAACATCCAGGACATTTCTGAAAATATGAGGAATCTGGGTGTAGGTTTCCTGGAAAAATATTTTATACTTTCTCCTTCGAATGTAAGCTCGTTTGAGCAAGGCCCTCAGCACCTTCTGTACGTCCAACATGTCTTGTTATAACTACTTGTTTGTTAGTCCACATATTGTACAGCACTGCGAAATTTGTTGTCCCTTTATAAATAATAATAATATAATTTGTGGAAAATCAAGGACATGCACAATATTCCCTATTATGTTTTTATAATATGTTTCTTTCTTCGTTTTTTTTTTTGCAAACTAGGAGTGTCCTCTTTGAAAGAAGGGTAACATTATGTTTCCAGACCAGCTACACAGATTAAAAAAAAGAATTCCTTTCCACTACTGGCTGAATCCGGGTTGTATTTTCATTTATGTAGCCATCAGTGAAGAAAAAAACATCATCAAAAACAGTAATAAAATATATGTAGACATGAAAAAAATCACTGGAAACATAAATCTCCCCCAACATGTTTTGATGTCGGGACGATTACATTCATTCAGCTGCTCATACATTTCAGGGCTCTAACTCATCCCTATCGGTGGAGTTTAAAGACACTGGACTCATATCTTCTGTTAAGAACTCAGAGGGCTGGTGGTGGTAGAAGAGATTCCAGTTCTTTGAGTAACAAAACAAATCATAGATGAAACGCACAACTTCTGAAACACCACTGTCTACTTTTCAAGTACAATAAAAGCTATTCTCCATCAAGTCTTTGTGACCTATGAGGGTTAATCTGAAATAGGAGCCTGGGAGTCGTAGGACATGCTATTACTTAGTAGAGGTTCTGCTTTTACATCAACATTTTGCTAGTAAGATATTTAGATTAAGAGATTGTAGAAACATTTCTCCTGCTGTGTAGTCAATTAACGGGAAGCTGTAATTCATGTCAGATTCCTCCTTTATACAATTAGAAATCTTGGGGTAGGAATGACGTAAAGGTCAGGAAAATGGACTGTCTTTTAAGCATTTCTCATTTTAGTAGATATTGGATATACTTTTATTTAATGATCTAAATAAATGATTGTTATAATATACTGATACAATGCTAGAAGATGGAGATAGTTCAGAGGTCATAGTTTTGGTTATATAACATATTTTGTGGTGAACTATAGGTAGGGGAAAGTTCCTGATTTCAAGGTTATTTCTGGAATGTATGGTTTAGATACAGACTGCAAACCACAAAGCTTTGCATATCTTATGGATTGACCTATTGGTTGTGACATACTGATTTCATGAGACTGCTAAAGACAGTAGTTCTCAGCTCTTCTACATAATTATTCTTTCTTTGAAGGGCTTCTGTAGGAAGGGGCTATCAGTGTGGAAGTTCGGATTCAGATAACCAGGTGATTCCCTGAGCTTCTAAATGTAAGAAGAAAAGGGAAGCAGTAACTTATTGACACAATGCTAGGATATGAGTGACTTTTCTTTAGCAATCTGCCATCCAGATGACTTCCATCCTGTGCCTCCACATAGCTCCACATTGCTGTTATGGTTTCCTCACATTGGAATTACATTCCACCTATGCACATATGTGAGTGACCTTACACGGTTCTCACATGGTGGTTACCATGTTCTTACATAGTTACACAGTTCTTACATGGCTACATGGTCCTTATGTTAGTTACATAGCTGCCTATTTATATAGCACCAATATATCATACAGTGTCGATCAGTAGGTAAAACAAGACAAACAATAAATAATAACAATGCATGTTTGACACTCGGGAACAGTGGGTAAAGTGAGCCCTGCTGAAATGAATTCACAATCTAAAAGAGTGACAAATACACAGAGAGGTGAGGGAATCAAATGAGCTGGATATATCTGAACATAACACAGGAAGGTTGTAAGGGATGAGGAGTTAAGGGCAGAGCATACAGACTTTTCTAAAGAAATTTATTTTTAAGGATTTTTTACAGAATGATGAGACGGAGAGGGGGCAGCCATGGAGTAGTCCTGACGTGCAGGGACAAGAAAGGGATATTAACATGTATTGACTGAGCAAAGAGGCTGGGCAGGAGGTGACATTAGCAAGGGCAAAGTGATTGTGGGCTTTGTAGACAAGCATGTGAACATAAACCATATCCTAAATGAACCAGGAAGCCAATGTAAAGACTAACAGAGGGTTACATCTGAGATTTTCAGGACATCTGGAAGAGGCCCTCATTATTATTATTATTATTATTGCCATTTATATAGCGCCAACAGATTCCGTAGCGCTTTACACTATTATGAGAGGGGGGATGTAACTATAAATAGGACAATTACAAGAAAACTTACAGGAACGATAAGTTGAAGAAGACCCTGCTCAAACGAGCTTACAGTCTATAGGAGGTGGGGTATAAGACACGTTAGGACAGGAAATATCAATCAAATAGGGTGGGAGTGAAGCAGAGCTGGAGGAGAGAGTAAAGCACTGCCCTACAGGAGAGAGCAAGAGACAGGCATGTGAGGTAGAGGTTACTCTGGGAGGCCATAAGCTTTCCTAAAGAGATGGGTTTTAAGGCACTTCTTAAAGGATTGAAGACTAGGGGAGAGTCTGATGGGGTAGGCAGGCTGTTCCATAGGAAAGTAGCCACCCCTGAGAAGTTCTGCAAGCGCGAGTTGGCCGTTCGGGTGCGAGCAGCGGTCAGGAGGTGGTCACGGGCAGAGTGGAGGGAAAGAGAAGGGGCATACCTTTGGATCTGTGAAGAGATATAAGAGGGGCTAGAATTGTTCAGTGCTTTAAATGTATGGGTTAGCACTTTGAATTGACTCCTATAGGATACAGGGAGCCAATGTAAGGACTGGCATAGGGGTAAGGTGTGAGAGGACCAACTAGAGAGGAAAATAAATCTGGTGGCGGCATTCATTACAGACTGTAGCGGGGCAATATGGCTTTTGGGGAGACCAATCAGGAGAGGCTTACAATAATCCATGCGGGAAATTACTAGAGCATGGACAAGCTCCTTGGTAGCATCTTGCGTAAGAAAGGGACGGATGCGGGCTATGTTTTTAAGTTGGTATCTACAGGATTTGGCAACAAACTGGATGTGAGGCTCAAAGGTGAGGCCAGGGTCAAGTATGACGCCAAGACAGCGTGCTTGCAAAGATGGGCTTATGTGGATATCACTGACTTGAAGGGAGAGCGAGAGAGGATGATCAGTATTAGGAGGAGGAAAGACAAGGAGTTCAGTTTTAGAGAGATTGAGTTTCAGAAAACGTGAGGACATCCAGTCAGGGATGGGAGAAAGGCAAGCAGTGACACGTTGCAAGACAGGTCCGGGGAGGAGAGGTATATCTGAGTGTCATCAGCATACAGGTGGTAGTGGAATTCAAAAGAGGCAATAGGTTTGCCAAGAGAGGCAGTATAAAGAGAAAATAGAAGGGGACCAAGGACAGAGCCTTGGGGAACTCCAACAGAGACAGGATGAGGGTAGGAGGTATCTTTGGAAAAGGAGACACTGAATGAGCATTGGGAGAAATAAGAGGAAAACCATGAGAGGACAGAGTCATAGAGACCGAGCGATTGAAGAGTTTGAAGGAGGAGAGCATGATCAACTGTGTCAAAGGCAGCAGAGAGGTCAAGGAGAATTAGTATGGAGTAGTGAACTTTGGATTTAGCTGCGATTAGGTCATTAGTAACTTTGATAAGAGCAGTCTTAGTAGAGTGGAGTGGGCGGAAGCCAGACTGAAGAGGGTCAAGGAGAGAATTGGAATTGAGGAAGCGAGACACACGGGTAAAGACAAGTCTTACCAAAAGTTTTGATGAAAAAGGGAGCAGGGATATGGGACGGTAGTTAGAGGGGGAGGATGTGTCAAGAGATGTTTTTTTCAGGATCGATACTACAGTGGCATGTTTAAGGTGAGCAGAAACAGTGCCAGAAGAGCAGTTGAAGATGTGTGTTAGGGAAGGCACAGGACAAGGGGAGAGAGATCTTATGAGGTGAGATGGGACAGGATCGAGCAGGCAAGTGGTGGGGCGAAAGTAATGGAGAAGCGCAGCCACCTCTTGTTCAGTAGCCGGGGAGAAAGTCTGAAGGGTAGGAAAGGCATGATTTACATGTGGTTGAGAAAGAGAATGGCAAGGAGGGGAGCATTATTTCCTTAGCTGTTCAATCTTGTAGGTAAAGTAGCCTGCAAAGCTATCAGCTGTAAGGTTAGTTTTGGGACTGGCCACAGCAGGGCAGAGAAGAGAATTAAAGGTGTCAAAGAGACGTCTGAGATTGTGGGAGCATGAACTAATGAGAGAGGAAAAGTATGACTGTTTGGCGAGGGCAAGGGCTGTGCTGTATGAACGCAATATGAATCTATAATGGAGAAAGTCTGCCTGGGTGCAGGACTTCCTCCAGGAGCGTTCGGCACAACGGGAGCAACTTTGTAGATAGCGTGTTGATTTAGTATGCCAAGGTTGGGGTTGTGTCCTCTTTGAGGTGTATGTTTGGAGCGGGACTGCAGCGTTCAGGGCAGAGGTGAGGGTAGTGTTATATGTGGAGATGGCCAGTGAAGGACAGGAGTGAAGGGATGGATAGCAGTTGTGAATCAATGGACTGAGAGCGGCTATCTAAACATTTTTCAAGCCAATAAGTGGAGGGCAAATTCAGAGGGCATATATTTCTAGTGAGTGATGTTAGACACTGTACACAGTATAGGAAGAACTGTATTGAGGAGAGGTTTCTTTGAAGCCTTAAATAACCAGTTTATGACATAAGCCCTATAGTATGCTGCGCTGGTGCCCCCTACTTTATAAGTAGTCAAACTGTGTTAGAATGGTTGGACTTCTTACCTGGGGTCATAACTTTCACTAACTAAATCAAAAAAGATTGTGGAGAATATTTACTCAAAATATATATACGACTGGGTGCCGGTCCCAAATGTTAAAATCCGAATTCCTAACAGACAATAGCAAATAAAATGATTGGAGCCGCAACACAGGGATGCAAAATGTAGGATTTTCCATTCCACCACAGTGGACTCGGCTATGTTTGGACCCTACAGGGTGTTTTTCATAGAAACATAGAAACATAGAATGTGACGGCAGATAAGAACCATTCGGCCCATCTAGTCTGCCCAATTTTCTAAATACTTTCATTAGTCCCTGGCCTTATCTTATAGTTAGGATAGCCTTATGCCTATCCCACGCATGCTTAAACTCCTTTACTGTGTTAACCTCTACCACTTCAGCTGGAAGGCTATTCCATGCATCCACTACCCTCTCTTATAAAGTAATACTTCCTGATATTATTTTTAAACCTTTGTCCCTCTAATTTAAGACTATGTCCTCTTGTTGTGGTAGTTTTTCCTCTTTTAAAAATTTAATGCAACGAGACAAAAACAAACAAACAATCAACTATTGATTTTTTAATTAATACATTTTAAAACAAACTTTAAAAAACAAAACAAAACTTTAATCAATACATTTGGAAAAAAAATCTTTGATCCTCGACAGAAACCCATCGTGATCTCCAAAAGTCACAGGTTATATGTTATAAAACGAGGAACCAACGCAAATGACTTTAACGAGAGGAAAAACAAATCAAATAAGAGCACAGTGTGAATGAAGCTGCAAATAAAAGCTACCCAAAGGAAAGGAGGACACTTCATATATGGAAAACTAAGTTAAATCACAGAAAAAAATACATTTAGAAATCTCAATGTAACCCCTTAGCTTCCGGTGACCTGCTCCTGTTGTGATTATTTATAGCCATTTCTATTAGCAGTGAGAATTTAGCTCAAGCAACGTTTAATCTTTAAGTAGCTTGAGGGGCACTCTTTCATGTATTTTCTAAATCTCATTGCTCTTTTTGTTTTCTCATCTCTACTCTCTCAATTTTCCTTCACTATTTAATTTCCGGCTCTCCATTCTCCTCGCTACCTGCAGTCCAACAAGGTTTAATTCTCGATTCCGTTCTGTTTAATCTTTATACTTCCTGTTTTGGTAACCATATTGCTTCCTTTGCAATATCCCATTACCAGTTATATGCTAATGACCAGGCCCGGACTGGCCATCGGGCACACCGGGCAAATGCCTGGTGGGCCGCGGTGGCCATGGGCCGAGGCCGGCAGGGGAGGTCCCAGGATCTCCCCTGCCGGTCTATGCAGGGCCGGCACTCTCCTAGCGCCGGCCCCGCTGTTTGTCACGACGGGCCGGTGGGGAGATCAAGGATCTCCCTGACCGGCCCACATGCGGCCGCCGGCGGGGAGGGAGGGAGACAGCCAGCTAGGCTGGAGAGAGGACCCGGCGGAGCTCTAACTTGCAGCTCCGCCGGGTTCCTCTCGCGAGATCCGGCGCGTTGCCATGGCCTCACAGGCTAGAGTTCACTCACCCACGAGGACCACCAGGGAACCCCGCCACCCCGCCTTCCAGCGTGCCGGACCCCCCCTCCCAGGCTAAAGGTAAGAAGAGAGGGGGGGAAATAATGACTTTTTTTTTTTTATTTACCCCCCCTACACACACACACAATAACATTTATACAGCACTCTCACACCCATCACACACAGCACTCTCACACCCATCACACTCACAGCACTCTCTCACAGAGCACTCTCACACACACACAGCACTCTCTCACACAGCACTCTCACACCCATCACACACAGCACTCTCACACAGCACTCTCACACCCATCACTCACACCCAGCACTCTCTTACCCATCACACACAGCACTCTCACACCCAGCACTCTCACACCATCACACACAGCGCACTCTCACAGAGCACTCACACACACACAGCACTCTCACACCCATCACACACAGCACTTTCACACACACACAGCACTCTCTCACAGCACTCTCACAGAGCACTCTCTCACACCCATCTCACACAGCACTCACACACCCATCACTCACACACGGCACTCTCACACCCATCACTCACACACGGCACTCTCACACACATCACTCACACACGGCACTCTCACACACATCACACACACACCGCACCCTCACACACACACATACACCGCACCCTCAAACACACACATACACCGCACCCTCACACACACACATACTGCACCCCTCACATACACACAGAACCCCCCCAACACACTGCACCACACACATACACAATACTTCCAAATATATATATATATTATATATTATATATATATATATATATACATACACACACACACACACACACACACACTACACTCTTAAAGGACCACTCTAGCCACCCAGACCACTTCAGCTTAATGAAGTGGTCTTGGTGCCAGGTCCTTCTAGGGTTAACCCATTGTTTTATAAACATAGCAGTTTCAGAGAAACTGCTATGTTTATCAATGGGTTAAGCCTTCCCCCAAAGCCTCTAGCAGCTGTCTCATTGACAGCCGCTAGAGGCGCTTGCGTGCTTTTCACTGTGAAAATCACAGTGAGAGCACGCAAGCGTCCATAGGAAAGCATTATAAATGCTTTCCTATGCGACCGGCTGAATGCGCGCGCAGCTCTTGCCGCGTGCGCATTCAGCCGACGGGGCGGATCGGAGGAGGAGAGCTCCCCGCCCGGCGCTGGAAAAAGGTAAGTTTTAACCCCTTTCCAGAGCCGGGCGGGAGGGGGTCCCTGAGCCACATATGCATCACATTACACCACAAACACAACACGACTAAAACCGACCTTATTACACAATACCACACCACGACCAGCTCACTCTACACACCCGCAATACCACAAGCAGGCTCCAAACACATGCACAATACTCTGTCCTGGCCTTTTGTCTCCTGGTATCCATTTATAGAGACACCAGAGACAAGTTGCAAGGAAACACAGTGCAAGCATGTTATTAAATTTGCTTGCACTGTGCAGAACAAATACAGGACTTTTTTCTCATGCTAGAGCTCTTCAGCAGAGCTCTGCGCATGGTCTGCCCTGGAAGAGCATTGAACCAACATGCTCACTTTGAGAGGAGGCGTGTTTGTCATTGGTGATGACAAAACACACCTCCTCTGCCCCGCCCCCTTTTTAGTGGGCCGCTGTGTTAAAAAAATGCCCGGGCCGAATTTTTCTCCCAGTCCGGCCCTGCTAATGACCCTCAGATGTATCTCCAGTCCCTCAAACTTGCTCCTTTCCTCTTGGATCATGTCACAAACTGTTTCTCTTCAGTCTCTAACTTCGAGATTGTCAATTTCATGAGATTTCTAAGGTTTCATCTTACCAAAACAGAGCTTTTTATGTTTGCTCCTTAGAAAACCAATCCTATCTTAAACCCAGGAGAAAAGCCGTTCAACCAACATCATATGCTTGACGTCTTGGAGTTATTTTACTCTGGCCTTGCTTTTACTTCTCATGTTCACGTTGTCTTAAAAGCTTGTAACTTCTATTCTAAAAATATTGCTAGCATTCACCTTTTCTCAGCACATCTTCATGTGTTCATGGTTTTTAGATGACTGCATCCTGCTGCTCAGTAGACTTCCAGAAACTTGCATTGCCCCACTAAAATCTATAGTGAATGCTGCCACTAGGCTGTTATACTTCGCTCTGTCTTCCTCGTACACTAAGCTTTTTTGGAAATCATTACACTGCCATCATCTGCCTTGTTAGATCAAATGTGTTATTGTTACAGAGCAAATGAAGTCGTTTTGCCATACAACAGGGTGACTGGAAAGCTGACATTTGACAGACATTACGTAAAGTTTAAAATAGAATACAAGTAGTTCCATACAGATAACGAGAGACAGAGAGAACTGACCATGTTATTACACTATCTTGCAGGAGATGGGGGGTGACAGAAAATGTAGGTAAGAAGCATGTATCGAACAAGAAAGTGAGATGTTCGTGGGCCAATTCATTGTAGGAACTTGTAAGGTAGTGGTAGAAGGGCCAATATTTAGAGAGATGACATCTACAGACACTGGTAGAAATACAGATACGTTAGAATGGTGCAAATAATTACAAAAACTAAGTGTTACCACCAGAAACAAACCATAAATCACACATATATGCAGCAACCTACAAGGTACTCTAATACAATAGATCCCAGAAATAGTAAAAAAAAATATTGTAGGTGCGCAAACAATCATTAAAGTGTCATTGCAGGAAAAGTGACAATCAGAGTATAGGAATCTCCCAGCAATATACACATAAAATCTATTAGTGACGAAGAAGCTATTACAGAAAATTAAAACCACACTGTGATAAAACACGAGATCTTAAGGGACAAAGTAAACGTATATACTTGCTCTCTCTTTAGGAAGTGGGTCTCAATGATCTAAAATACAAACACAGACCTAGTGCAATATAGTCTGAATAAAATATAATGTATAATGCTCTATAGGAAATTAACTCACAATTGTGGAGTGGTTATAGTACCGCTCCGGACTATCAGACACAGGGAGGATCAGACTCTTGAGATCGTTGGATCCTAACGTGAGTATTAAAGCGAACTCACCATCAGCCGAAATCATGAAGTTGTATACTTTATTATTCACAAAAACAGTAGTGCTTAAAAATAAAATAAAAGATAAAATCTCACTGCACTTGGAGCAGACCAAAGTCCTGGGTGTTGGTAAATATACAGTCCGAGCGTCCTCTCTCTGTATCTCCCAGCTGGGACATTGTCACTTTTCCTGCACTGACACTTTTAAGATTGTTTGCGCACCTACAATCTACAGACACTGAGGCTGGAGGAAAAGGTCCTGCCATTCACCATGGAGTAAGAGGTAAAAGGTGTTTGGAGAAACAAAATGATTTAATGAGAGATGGTGAGGAGTGAGGCGAGATGGTGAGATAAACATTGCATGAGAATCATCTTTAGGTAGGAGAGTTAGTTTGAGGAAGCATGTAAAGGTAATGAAGAGGAAACTGCGGAGGAAAGAAATCGAATACGGGTAAAAAAAGGCAAAGTTTCATTGTTTAGGTTTCTGAGGCTAAATGCTGCAGAGGTCTGTGACGATTGCCATGTTCCTCCTGTTTGATGTTTAAATAATATTTGTGGACAACTACAGTTATGGACAACTGTGAGTCTTCTCTCAGCGAAAGTTTTTATAAAGTGAGGCACTTACACCGAATAACTAGGAATGAGCTGGACAAACAGCAGAGAAAGGTTTCACACCTAAATAATTAACCAGATAATGACTGGAAAACTCGATAGTAAACCATTCAAACAGGTTATACCCCAAAGTTTTAATGACCGTGCCAGCAGTGGATTATAGCAGTAAGGAATAAAGAGACCGGCCCAGTAATACTGTGTCCACATTATTAGGCGACCATAGAGCTTGATAGGTCAATACGTTATTATTATAATGTCTAATACCTGTGACTAATTATTTTACTAAATTAATTAAAGCAGTTGTGACCTGCGGCAGTGAGGGGTGACTACAAATGTGCACAATTCTTGTCCCGTATGTAAACTACTGACAGTGACCAACAAACGTCTCCACACGTTTATCTAATTTATAGCTATGGCATTCTTTTCATATTTCCTCACCCTATCCTCTAGTCATTTGAGAAATCCCTAAAATATATCCCTAAAATATAAATCATCTCTTTATGAATGCTTATCAGTTTACTGGGTAATTCCTCGCTATTCAAAGTTGTGCAACTTGTGGTTTCCTTCTCTCTCTCCCTCCTGTCCACTCCACATCTTTCCAAAATACATGATACATTTTGTTTCTTCATCATTACCTCCATACTATAAGCTTGCCTGACGGGGGATAATTCCACATTTTGTTGTTGTTGTTCACTTGTTTGTCATTTATTTATTATTTTTTATTTATAAAGTGTCAACACATACTGCATCACTGCCAATGGGTACAATTGGTAGAAGTATAAAGACAAAAATATAATACATCTAAGAGATAATAAAAAAAAGTGGAAAGAAGTACAGGAGGTCCTAATGGCCATATTTCCATGGGAACTTACAATCTAGATATATTTTTTATAAATCTCAACTGTAAATCATTACAAAAGACATTGGCTCCACATGTGAGACTGGATATGTAAATATAATCAATAAAAATGTAATATTTCAATTAAATTGTATACTTTATTTGAGGATACAGAAGTGGAATGACTGATTACAATGTCATAAACAGAGCTCGTCTTGTGTAGTTCTGTGTCATCACTATCATCATGAGTCACTAGTGCAGAGATTAGGTCTTGGTCCAGGCTAGTGAGAACACTGTTATAGATAGACTAAACGACAGGACATGCACCTCTAGAAAAGGTGTGAAATAGTCCAGAACAGCTCGTTATGAATGAATTTTGAATAAGAAATATTTGCACCTGTAGGTATATAGATGTTTCGGAGGAAGAATTGTCACCTTGAAGAGAGATATCAGGATAGACGAGAGAGAAAGTATGTTCATGACTAATCTGTGTTATCCACAATCTGACATACACTCATGAATATTTATCCAGTTCATAGCTGTTGAAGTGCAAAGGAGGATCCTTGTCCAATCAGTTGAGGTCACCAAGTGACCATCATCTACTCTGATGACAAGATTTACAGCCTATAACACACTAAAATATTGTAAGGAATGCAAGGAAAGTAGTAATTGCCAATCTAAATTGCCAGATGAGAAGTATAGCAAAAAGGTGTTGTTACGGTACCCTCAGCATGAAATGTACAAACCGCCGTTTAGTGAATGGTCCCTGTTCGCAATAACATAGGCTGCATGCGTATCCAGTATAATCATGCGAACTGCAAGCAAGGGAACGCTGCAAACTCACGAACGGGATCCGTACGGGCACTTCACTCCATGAGCTCCAATAAATCTTTCAGGGTAGCTCTTTTCAGCCTTTGGTATTGTAATTTCATTTAATCCTGGCTGTAGTGGTCTCTCTGGGCGATGAGGGTCATCCCACCGCTGCCACCAATTGTAAGGGACCGTTTTGCACACAAGGGGTAAAAACCGTTTAGGCGATCGTCCCCTTTCTCAGAGATGCAGGCACAGCTACTGTAGAACACCAAACTCATGAACTGCCAATAGGGGAATGACCAAACTCCTGAACGGCATACAATATAGCACTCCAAACACACGAACTGGAACCATACGAATCACTGCTAGCAGACGAATAGGAAAAGCATCCAAGCGGCTTACACTCCTAGCAATCAGTCTCTATCAGCATTCAGTAAATCCCCCCAAAGACAAGACAAGGCTCCGTGTTGAGGGTCAAGCAGTGGTCTGTTTAATGAGGGCTACCTGCCCAGTATTTATGCAGGTCTCCCACCTGGTGGACACTCCCCTAGGGGACCAAATGGGAGACTGTGACAAAAGACAGACAAGTAGACAAATAGGACACACAGTCACATTATATTCCCACAATGCATCCTGGCTTCCTCCCCTCTGCCCTGGAGATAATTGAGAAGTAATTCAATTATCTCCCAAGACAAAGGCAAATCGCCATTATGCACGTGGGGATACTAAAACATGAATTACTATTAAA